TGGGCAGCTGACTGTGTTTGCCTGTGTGTTTGTTTGCCAGGTTGTGATTCCTTTTCTGCACGTGCCAGGAGAAAGGCGCCAAGCTCTATAAGTGGATCGATGTGAAGCGGAGAGAAAGGAACTGGTGCCGGCACTGTGATAGGCCAGGCCGCTGGACCCTGAGACTTCGGGCGGTGGGTGGCAGGCCTGGGGAAGGAAACGAGAGCAGGCGCCCAGGGAACCCAGGAATGCACAGCAGTTGTGGCTGGTTTGCAGGACTAGGGTCTGAGTTGATACCTTGGCCAAATTAAAAAAAAATCATTATTAATATTATTCTCAGAGAGTTGAGAAGTATTGTTATCCACTCTTCAGACAGATAAATTAGGGCAGGGAGGGGTCAGTCACTCGAAAAAATTCACATGTCAGCACCCATCCTTCAAACCAGCCAGAGAGCCAGGGCCCAGGCCTGGGTTGCTCATCATTGGCCCGGCTCGTAATGCCCAGGGAGCCCTGACAACTCAGGAGGCAGAGCCTGTGAGATGATGGATGGGCTCCTCTGGCTGGTCTCTCTGGGATGCACAGCCCACAGACTGGCACGCATCCCGACCTGGGGCCAGATGCAGGTCAAGTGGTAGCAGGGAGTCAAGGTCAAGGCGATCGCTCGCAGCCTGCTTCCCACCACCCCGCTCAGCGGGGGCTGCATTCTCAAAAGACAGCGCAGAACCTGCAAGGGTTTTCCAACAGCAGCATGAGCTTTTCTGCCATGACTGGAGGGTAGAGAGTTATGCTGCTGCTGAGAAAATGCAAAAATTGAACACAAAGGAAAAATGCCCCCAAACCTCCTACAACATGGGCTAAGCATGTGTGTGCGTGCTCAGTCAGGTCCAACTCTGTGGTCCCCTGGACCGTAGACTACCAGGCTCCTCTGTCCATGGGATTCTCCAGGCAAGAAGACTGCAGTGGGTTGCCATTTCCTTCTCCATGGGCTACACATAAAGGCCCTCATTAGCCGAGACAGGCTGACTGTACGTGTCTTTATCTATGAGGTCGGCATTTCAACCTGGATTTCTGATTCCACCTCCAGGAGCTTTGACTCCGTGAAGGAAACTGAACACACCCACCACTACATAAATACCTATAAAGCACAGGCAAACATGGACATATGTATTTTGACCCTCCGCCCCACAACCAGAATTTCAACTGAGGGCACTTGAAAGTTAGAGAATTTTGGAGACACTGTGTCTTGAAACACACTGTTTATGTAGGTGGAAACGTGCCTCTCTAAACTCCTTTCAAATCGAAAGCTAGTTGGATTTGAGCTGGAGGGTGAACTCTCTTTGCAGACATCCTCTTGTCCACATGTGGAGGATGCCAGCTTGCAGCCCCCAGACTCTACCTGGGATCTTTGCATTTAATTGTTTGGTTCACATGGTGGCAGCCAGTGCAATTTTTTTTTTTTAAAGTTGAATTAGGAATGGAAGTTGCAAAGCTCAAGAGTTCTCCCCTAATGCCCAATGTCCAGCCTTCACTGTGCTTACTGCGATGAACAGCTTGGTGGCTTTAAGAGAGTGGCCCAGACTGGAGGGTATGGAAAGCCAAAGACCGGAGGGCTCCACCTGCCCATCTAGTCCAATCCTTTGCCTTCATCGTGCCCTGTGTACCAACCTTCCTGGACTGAGCACCTGAAGCCATCTGCCAAAGTGAAAGTGAAAGCTGCTCAGTCATGTCCGACTCTATGCAACCCCATGGGCTGTCGTCCATCAGGCTCCTAAGTCCATGGAATTCTCCAGGCAAGAAAACTGGAGTGGGTTGCCATTCCCTTCTGCAGGGGATCTTCCTGACTCAGGGATCGAACCCGGGCCTCCTGCACCTCAGGCAGATTCTTTACCATCTGAGTCACCAGGGAAGGCCACGATGGGCCATTTTCAGGGCCCACAAGACCCTACCCCACGTCTTCCAGGGGAATCTTCCAGGCTACTTCTCTTGATCAACGGCCTCTACCACGCCTCTCCTGACCTTCCTCTGCACCCATCCGGTGCCTATGGCCGTTGAAGACTTTCCTTCCTCAGCACCGAGGACTGTGCCTTGTGCTTCTCTGTTAGCCGCCCTCCCCCATGAGACAGGGGCTCCTTCAGGCTGGGGACCACGTCTCGCTGGTTTTTCCCTCGGTGCCTGTCAGAGCGCCAGCACAGAAACGGGCCCCAGAAGAGGCGCTTTGAAAAGAGAGCCACCAGCGGGATCGGACGGTGGTCAGAAAGGGACTACACAGGCAGCAGGCCTCCTCAGCCAGGGGACTCTCCAGGGTGGGGCTGGGGTGCCATCAAGGCAGTCAAAGATAAGCTGCCTCCCTGACCCCACTGGATCTCAGCCTTGGACCCAAAGGCTCTCCTGGGGAGTGGGTGGTGAGTAAGCACAGACCAACCTTCCTACCTTCCCCTCTGCCCCCACGTCAAAGCAAATAGGGCTTCCTAGCAATCCAGGCTATTCCTTTGTGCATTCCAGAACGCAACCTCCAGGAGAGTTAAAAAAAAAAAAATCAACTCAAGAAAGTATCTGCTGCTACTTAGGAGAGGGTTAAAACAATTTTTTTTTTATAAGGTTAAAAAAGCTACTTGCTCTTTAGGTCAGTCACTGTCGTAACGATTTTTCTCTTGCCATATGCTCCTCTGAATTGCATTAATGTGACATCTCTCACTGAAGCATCTGGTCTCAGCCACTTCAAGGCGCACAAGAAAGCACACACATTCAGACTGAGTCTATAATAACACAGAGAGGTGTTCGGACTCCTGCCATCACAAAGCCAGATACCGTACTTGTAAAATTCTATGCTGGTCGTGCTGGATAAAAACACTCCAGAAACAGGGCAAGAGATATTTCAAATGAATGGAGACAGAATCTGGGGGGAGGCTTTTGTATGTCTGTATGCTGTGTGCGTATGTATATGTATGCATGTGTGTATAAACACACACCTGTACACTCTCACACATGTTTTATGAATTGGTAATCATCTTCATGGCTCATATATAAAGTCGTCTTTTCTACCGAAAGAAACTAAACATTGAAAGCATCAGAGGAAAACAGAGCCTCACAAATCTGGACAAAAAGGTAGGGCATATCTATGTTTTAGCACTTGGAAATACAAAAAGGAAAATCTTCCATCACAAGCTGAAGGCAAAGTGGCATTATCAACAACCAACCACATTTTTCCCACTAAGAAAAGGAAAAAAAAAAATGTACTGGCAAGCAATGCCATACCAAGTATTTCTTCTTTCTCACTGGTAACAATCTTTGTCAAACAGATACATTGCCTTCAATTTTCCCCAAACATCACACCCCACTTTCTTAAATAGGTCATTAAAAAAAAATCCAAGTGGGTTAAATAAAAAGTTTACTACATAACAAATGAGACTGCGAACATCCATTCTTTTCTTGTCCTGAAGATCCTTGTGCTCATTTTGTCAGAAGCACAAGAAGAAGAAATGCGATTGCATTTGTGCTGATGCTAAATGTTAATAGATTTGCCTAAATGCCTGTTAATAGCCCCCCTAAAATTAGCTAGACTAGTAGTGCATGCCTAATGTAGTGCTGTTTTTGTTGTTTTACTTGCATTTTTGCTTTTTTGTCGTCGATCAGAGGTGGGGAAAGGCCCCTAAATAAAGCAAAGGTCTTTGGGTGTGAAACATTTCCAAGTGTCACATGTGAATTCTGCAGAAAGAACATATATTCTGCAATATCCCAGAGTTCTGACATTCTGTCATGAAGGTGACAAATCCTAGTGCTCTAATGTTTCATTAAATTAAACATGAAATGTTTAATGTTTTGTTAAATTAAACATGAAGCTGTGACTCTGCACCCGAGAACCAGGGCCTTCTATCAAGCCCTCACATTCCTCCAGGTCACTTTTTGGATATAAAAGCCGAGTTTTGTTTATTAGGAATATTGTATTTCTCTCTACAGTTAAAATGTACTTTATCCTAATGCGCTTATAAATAAAAACCAACAAGTGACACAGTTTTTAGGTGCTTACAGCATTTCTAAAGTCAGGCTCACAGAGAACAGCTTGCAGACAGACCCTTAGCTAATTCTTTATTACAATTTTTCCCTTTCAAATATTTACCATCATGACTGAGAGTCTTCCAGAGTGCAGAGGTATTACATTTTCTCAGGTATCAAGCCCATTTCACAGACAGGCTTGCAAATGGCTAAAGAATGTGAGGCTTGCTAGAAAATAGTTGAAACAGATCTGAAAGACCATAGATTTCAGGCTAAAGAAATCTCAGTAAACTGCCCCCGCCTCATGTCCTTTTCTACCATGACAAAAACCAACCAGCTAAACAGAGCAAGACAAAACAACAATTCTGAGTTAGGAATGTATTTCCACAAGCAGAGAGACCCATGCAGAGCTCCTGTGACTACTGAATAAAAGTTCTGATGGAACCCCTTAAAGCGGCAGGTAAACACACCAAGGACACTTTCGGGAGAGTGAAATGAGGCTCAGACCAAAAAACATTGCTCCTTTCCGACCAGTTCAATAAGATGGTTAAAAGCATAGGATCATACCACAAGCAAAATTTCCAAATGCTATTTTATAAAACACATTTGGATGATACTTTTTAAACAGAGGGGAAAAAACCCCCACCAACTATGTAGCAACTTCAAAGGGGAAAAAAACACTCATGTCCCAGAATGAAACTGTCTGAATATTTTCACATTTTTTCTAGTCAATTTAAGTGGGTTATACGTTAACCCACTTAAACAAGGTCCCACCACTGTCAAACCGGCAATAGCAGAAAGAACCATCTCTCTCTCTCTCTTTTTAAAAGAACCATCTCTTAAATGGCAAGTTGCACAGACCCTCCCAGTCCAACCAAACTTGATATCTATACTTTCTCTTTGTCGACACACCAGCTCCTATCACTGGCCAGAAACTGCAAAATAGTCTGGAAGTGGTACCACATCTTTGCTCAGATCTCCTGCTCCCGGCTAGTTCCCCAACAGGTAGGAATATATTTGACACTTACCATTCTGAAGCTTCATGTCTGTGAGGCAAACTAAATAAATGAAACGGATCCTGCTTTAATCTTCTTTTCTAGACCACAAATGCCTTAATCAAAAGGAAAGACAAAAAACACACACACACACACACACAAATGTTCCCTGAGGTTCTTTCTCTCAACCCCCAGAGTATATATAAGCAAGGAGGAGTCATCCTTCTTTACTGAATGGCCAGAATTTGTACCTTAATATCAACAACAGAGAATTCTTTCTAACATTCCACTACACCATCCTCCTCATCCCCCATCTCTTCCCTCACTTCGATAATTTGTACCCGAGACAAGGCTTAAGTTGTACTTTAAATCACAATCTGGAAATGCTTCAGTTGGATATTTGGCTTGGCAGACCTCCTGTAAAAATCCCACGTAAAGCCACATTTGTTTCCTTCCTGCAAATGAACTGTGGCGTTTGTGGTCCCTCTGGCTCTCGCCAGCACAGACTTCGCCTTTCAATGAGCTTAAGTCGCAGGACTTCATTTGGGGTTAGCTGTCCCGCAAAGCTCATTTGGTTCTTACACCATTAAGGCGAGAGGCTCTCAAAGGCAAAGCAAGATGCTTTTAACTACGTTGGAGGGGCCAGTCATATCTTGTTAGCAACAGCTGCACACTTACCAGGCTTTCAGGGACTTCACAGAGCTGTCCTATTCCTTCTGGGATTAGGAACACAGAGTGAAATGAACCAGTCGTTCATGGGAGCTGGCCAGGCTGCGCCAGACTCTCATCTTCCTGAAATCCAGCGAGGCGGCTCCCTCCAAGGTTACTCCTCCGTCGGCCTCTCCTGGTGGAGACAGCCCGCCAAGGCCCTGGCTGCCGATTCCAAACTACTACTCAATAAAAGGATTTTAAAGGCTGTGCCGGGAGCCGGGAGCTTTAGATCCCAGTTTGGCTCTTTCTCCATCAGCATTCCTCGGCAAGCCTGCACAGAGCGAGGCATGCTACATTATTTATATCAGCTCTAGGCTCTGGAAAATACACACTGGCATCCTGATTACTAAGAATCCTCATGGATACAATTAAACCGTTCCCACATATATTTTTTTCACCCTCCCCCCTTCTCAGATTTAACCTCTTTCAGAAGAAACAAAAGCACTTTGAGGCGTGGCCCAGCTCACCTACTATGAGCCAAGAGAGGACTGAAATATGGTCACGATGGCAAATGAGCTGAGAGAAAAGGACACCTTCCCTGGAATGGGCGGAAGGCAAGTTCCAGGGAGGAAGGTTCAGTAAGAGTCTGGAGAATAACCCCACAAGTGGCCTGCCCGGGTTGAGGACATTGATGTGGAAGCAGCAAAGTGAAGGCGCTACCCGAAAGCCATTTTGATGAATTCATGGAAGATTGATTTAGAATGGGCTGTTAAGGGAAGGAAGGAAGCATTTGGCAACACGACTAACCTTCCAAGCTGGATGAAGAGCAATCACGCTCCCCCACCAACTGCTCCTTGGTGCCCCATCCAAGTCACAGCCCTAGACGGGAAGACCATGGATTTAGCCAAGTAGAGCAACCATCCTGGCCTCAAGTGTCCTCTTCAGCACAATGAACAACTCTTCAAGTTGCCGTCTGCCATCCCCCTTCTCGTCAATAGCTCGGCCACACGTTCTGAGACGGGTCTCTTAGCCACGGGCAGAAGGCGCCGCATGCAGGCACAGCTGAGGAAGGCCGATGACAGCCACTTCCTCCTCTGTAGGAGCAGCAAGAAGGCTATGCATCGCCCCCCTCCCTGTCTAGCTAGAAAGTTCCTGCTTGGCAGGCAGAGGTGACTTCACTTTGTGAAAGCCCCAGGCACCGCTTAGTGAAACCACCTTTGGCAGGACCTCACAGTGAAGTCAGTGGATGTGGGCAAGAAGTTGGCTGAGGGAAAGGCAGTTGTCTCATCTAGGAACACAAGGAGAAAGGCGCGACCTGCCTCTCTCCAAAGGCTCCCTTTGAACGTGAATTCTTGTGTTGTGCCAGTTTTTTTTTTAAGTGACTGTCACTTCCAATGACTTAGTCCATCCCCACTCAGATATCTTGGGTGGAAAATTGGTGTGTGAGATGGAAACAACGTAGAGAACAGAGTGCAGGTCAGTGGAGCAGAGCCTGGAGCGGGCAAACCCACTCTCTGATGCACGGAGCTGCAAAGCAACGGGGAATCTGCTCCAGTGCATGAAGCAGCAGTGCCTTCCTCAGCCGTAAACAGATGAAAGGACGCGTGACAGAACACATGCACACACACTTTCACACTCACATGTCACAGAACGATACAACCCAGGCACCCAAAGATCTGATGAACGGAAAGCAGACACAAGGTGCCTGATGGGATGACTTCAGCTGCTGAGACCCAGAACACCGGGTCATCCAATCCACTGACCCTTAAGGAGGCTTTGGCCACACAGGGTCACCCGTGCGCTCCCAGCTAGAAGTGACTTCTCTTATCCTCTCCACAAAGGAATCCCACCCACACTGTAATTTCTCTTGGAAAGGACTTAGAAGCAACTAACAAGAGTGATGAGACCAGAGATGATCTCTTGGGAGAAAGGTGAGTCAAGAATATCATTATTCCTCCAGGAACTAAGCAATCATCAACCCAGAGGCTAACCTCAAGCTAAAGACCTTGGTAAGGATACCCTCTCATGCTGCCCACCCCCCAGAGCTGTGGTGTGGGTGAGACCCGGGGCTCCATCAGTGCTTTGCAAATCTGTGGTCTCAGATGAGCTGTCCAACCCTCCTGAGCCTGTATTCTCATCTGGAAACTACGGCTAGTGAGACCCACTTCCAGGATTTTGAGGATTCCATCGGAAACGTCCAGGGTTTAACCCAGTGCCTGGCACCCTGCGAGCTCACAATAAACTTGGCTACTATGAGTTTCCAAAAGTGTATCAGTTCAGCCGCACACAACTGACCCTGACTAGTTTGCAGATGCCCGAGCCCCTTCTCTATGTATTCCCTCGACACTCAGATCGTTGTTGACAATCTGTGTGCCAAACGCTGTAGTCGTGGTGCGCGTTTCCCTCAATAAACTTGCTCAGATGAGTTGCCCCATGACAGAGATGTCAATAAAAACTAAAGACAGTAGAAGAACTGAGAGTATTAACAGGCAGATTGTGAAACATTTTTTCTTAAAGGAAATTCCAGTACGTTACAGATCAATTGAATATCTTTCTGCTGATTAACTGTAAACTAAAACTATTTCAGGATGTTGCCATCCAAAACAGGGCTGCTCTACTTGAGATGGAAGGAAAAGTGGCCTGAAATCCCATTATCTAGCGCCCCCATCCATTTATCCACAAGCTATAAGGACCAGAGGCTGAAAACCTCTAATCTAGTAGAAAGGCAGCATTTTATGAAAAAAAGACAAGGAAGACCAGAGAGATTAAGGGACTCAGTCAATTTTGTGTCACCCAGCACAGCTCAATTGGAACCCACAGGTCTGACATCCTGCCAAATGCTCCTTCCATCCCTTCACAAGGCCAAAGGTAAAACCAGTGGAACCCAAAGTTTTTATTTCACTGCCCAATAAATTGGTTTTGATTCAATTCAGTCTCTTTGTTTTAATACCGTGTGTAGGGGACCAATACTTAACTACATGATGAATTTCATTTTTTTTTTTCAGAAAGTGATTATTTTAAATTTTGATTTTAAGTTTCACTATTTTCCTTTAAGCCATTTTGTTCTGATCAAGATTTTTCAGTCTTTCAAATGAGAAAAGCGATACTTCAAACTCCTAATTCATATGAAGGCTGCATCTTCAATGGATGATAACATACATGGGTTAGTGTCAGTATCTTTGAAAAATAGAGACGTTTACCCATATATCTCTTCTCTAATAACCTAGTTAATAGATCACTGTATCTTCTTCTGTATATACAAACAAAGGAAGTCCTTAATAGGCAGTATTTGAAGTATTAACCACACTTCTTTTCTAATGTAAATGAGGACTATCAGAATTATAAATCTTCAAAAGAAGCAGGTCCTCCAACATTTCACTACTAAGAAATACCCAAACATACTGTGACTACACCTCTATGACCATAGGGACTGCACAGACATCTCTAAGATCCTCTTCTCAAGTTTCAAACAACTCCATCTTTCACTTCTTGTCAAACCACCTGAACAAAAATGCGGTATGTTGCATCATTCACTGAAGCTATTTCTCCAGTTGAAACATGAATTATGAGTTCTTCTGAAACACAGCAGCTAAATCAAGTTGCAACACGGCCCTGTTTTATTCATGGGGCAGATCACAGCTAATCACCTTCTAATACAAGTCATGGTTTTGCTTTGCTAACATTTCTCTTATATTTTTCCTCCATGGTATGTACTAAATTGTGCGGCCTGAAGCTGAGCACTCTTTCTCTTACCAGCTCTACTTCACCTGAGGGTAACTGACCCTGCTGGGCCATATGTATTTTGACAACACGTGGTGTTCATCCTCTAATGTCATGACATAGGCTTCCTTTGTAAATAATATGGAGGGACTCTGGGTTGTCTTTAAATTCTAGGATTTTTTTCCCTTAGGTGGAAGCTCAAACTCCATCCCTAAGGATGAGTAGCACTAAATACGTACTCCTGAGACTACCTAAGAGGCATAGGTGTGTCTTTTTGGCAGCCGAATTGAGAAACTATTCTTACTTCCAGAACAACACAATGGACAGCCTGGGGCATCTACATCCTGTCTCCATCAGGCAGAACAATTGTTTGAGGTTATCCTTTTCACTGAAGGCTTCAGAAATTGTATAATCCTCATCTAAATAACTTTCTTCAATGAAGCAAAAGAATATCAGTTATCCTATCCCCCACAAGTTAAAGTTAAGCTCTTTAGGAAGAAGACTCTTGGCATTTTTCTTGTTCTGCAACAATCCAAGCTAAGGTCTGGTCAGAAAGCAGCAGGGCGTCTGGTAGAGTCCACAGACAGAGTTTGTGGATGGGGTAGAATGGAGGCCCACGGTCCCTCCTACGTCATGCCCTCTGCCTCTGCTCCAGAACGAGATACCCTGTGTAATCCTTTCTGGGATCTTTTATGATGATGTGGCTCTGTTTTACCTTTTGAGGCTGAGTTATTCAGTGAAGGTAAGATTTTCCTAGTGTTTTAACAACTGCGAATGAGTGTCAGTCGCTTCAGTCATGTCTGACTCTTCTGTGACCCCATGGACTGTAGCCTGCCAGGCTCCTCTGTCCATGGGATCTCCCAGGTGAGAATACTGGAGTGGGTAGCCGTTCCCTTCTCCAGGAGATCTGGACCCAGGGATTGAACCCACGTCTCCTGCATTGCAGGTAGATTCTTTACCATCTGAGCCATCCTCTAACCCAACTCTCTCTTTCTGAGCTGTTCTATATCAAAGACAAACTCAAGACAAACTACTTATCCTAGGATTGAGAAGATTTTAATGGGACTAAGTGGCCATTTAGTCCAAATCCCTCACAATATATGTAAGGAAAAAGAAGATCAAAGAGGATAAGATATTTTCCTAATGTAGTCAAGACTCACAATGAGCTGGGAAGAGAACCCTGCCACAGAAATTCCTCTCATCTGTATGGATTTGTTATTTTATTTCCCTTCTTTTCATCCCACATGTCAGCTTCCCAGGTGGCACAGAGGTAAAGAATCCACCTGCCAATGCAGGAGAAGCAAGAGGCATGGTTTTGATCCCTGGGTCAGGTAGATTCCCTGGAGAAGGAGATGGTAAACCACTCCAGTATTGCCTGGAGGACTCCCTTGGTCAGAGGACCCTGGTGGGTTACAGTCCCGAGGGTCACAA